GTGCTAGTTAAACCTTAGTTCAAGCACCTTGAGCATATGGTTTTGAAATTGTTTTTCTAAGAGTAATGGCTATCAAAGAGTAAAGATGTTTGTCAGGCACTTGTATAAAGCAACAACAGGTTTTTAAAAATATCCTCTGGGCAAACAATTGCACTGCTTTCTCCCACAGCATTTTTGGCCAGATGTATTAATATCGTATAGGAGCATCTGACCAGCAGAACTGAACAGAAACTTAGGTGGATAACATCTGTGGAGTCTTCACCTAAAAAATAGACTGAAATAAAGGCAGCTGAAAGCAAAATTTTCACTCTCTTCCCTGAGCTCAACTTTATAGCTTTGCTGCTGATGGTGTTGTGCCCACCAGCAGGTTTAGTTGTCTACTTGCCTGGGCATGTGGACAGGGGTTTTGGTCCTTGGAGCAGCCCCCTCTGCAGTCAGCATCGATTATTCAGGACCTCCCCTTCCTTTTCTGCATCAAAATAAAGCTGTAAATGCTTCTCTATCTCACTGGCATGTTATGAAAGTTAATGAGTTGATGTCTGCAAAAGACTTTGAAGGTATAAAATGGTCTAGAAGTTCTGAGCACTGTATTGTGAAGGTCTCCCTTTCCCCAGCTTAAGGCAGAATGAGTTAAGTTAGCCAAAGGGGATAAGAGAAACAAGAGAGACTTTATAAGTGTACCAGGGGAAAAGGAAATACTGGAGAGAAAATAGACCCATTAGCAAATGAGGAAGGAGATGAAGTTAATTATGATTTTAAAATGGATGAGCAGTGGAGCTGCTTTTTTTTTAAAGAAAAAAATCAGTCTTTAACAAAAATAATAAGATCTGACAATTAGGAAGAAGTGGAGGCCTTGTGAAAACAGGGGTTTGATTAAAAAATGAGGGGGAGAAAACTTGTAAAACATGAATACATGTAAATGAACAAATCTAGATGAAACTCTTCTAAAGAGCTATGAGAAACTAATGCATTTTTCCAAATATTTACCCACGGCAGATAAGGGGAAAGTCATATCAGAAAAGCAAAAGCAACAGCCACAAAAAAACCAATGATGTTAAGAAAAATGATGCTAGTGGTTACCTGCCAGTAAGTATTCATCTGTACTAAAAGCAAGAAGCACAACTGGAGTGAGCAGGAAAGCATCCCGTCTGTTGGGTTATGAAGCCAAGCATCACATCTGTTGGGTTATGAAGCCATGCTACACTAATGAGGTTTCGTTCTAGAGTTACAAAATACAGTGATGAGAAACCCAATACAAGCTGGGTCAGATCCAGAGTTGCTGCTCTGCCTCTTTACACCAGCAGATCCATTTGCAACATCTGAACTTGAGTAAATCATTTGACAGAAATACCTTGGAAACTTGTGTCTGAGAAAAGAAATCCAAATTGGCTTTGATAGGAAGGGTGTCATTTGGGCTAAGAATGGCAGTATGAGGCCACACAGAAAGTGATCTGAAGACAAAAATTAAAATAGATTCTGGCTGTAAATATGTTATGATTATTTCAGCATAAAGAATGATTAAGACATAATTATAAAAAGAAAAACAAGTTACTGTGTGAACAGCAGAACTAGGGCACCCTGGTTCCCAATGTGTTTAGTTGCTGTGGTTGGATTCTCTGGTGTCTAATAGGTTTCCTCTGTGACAGCTCCTCTGAGGTGGGGGTGGGCTGGCACCTCAATAGGGGCATTGGTAGGGGTGCACTTTGTGATATCTGTGATAATCCTGTGTGTTTGAGCCCTACACAACCTCCAAATGCAACTGGGTCAAAAGGCCAACCTTTCCAAAAGTTCTGAGGAGGGAACTCAGAGAGAGTGATCACATTTGCCACAACCATTTATTTGGAACTTAGATTTAAAAATCTTGCAAGAGGGCAAATTCTGACTGAAAACTGGAATGTCACAAATTAAAGAAATGCTCTGAATTTTGAGATCCTGTTCATCTCCTTTCTCTTGTTTCCAAAACACTGTATCTACATGGAACGAGTACATACAGATAATAGCTGTAATGATCTTATTTTCATACCTACTTCTTAGCTACTATTTTAGAAGCTCCTCCACAAAAGGACAAAGCATTTTTCCAAGGATCTATTTGTTCCATTTTAGTATAAATGGTTAAGGAAATGAGGAATTTCTATACTGATTATTTTGAAATATATTATTCTTTAAAGCCAGTCTCTCTCTGACTGTTGAACATGTACAACCAGCTATGATCAATAAAATTGCTTCTTGCAGAGAATGATGCATACAGAACTTCAGAGAGGTTAAATTTGCCTATTGCAGGGAGGGGATCAAAGCTCACTTTTTATTGATATTAAACCTTCAGCACAAAACTAGATCTGTAGAACCTGCTGAATATCATGTCTGTGTCTATATTGCTGAACTGGGGACTGAAGTGAGGACAAGGACACTATTTCTTGTCTGTAATTAAGAAGTATCACTGAGTAACATGGGACATTCAGTAGCTTCTTATATGAGGACAGAAGGATGCAACTCTTTTTAAGGACACCAGAATAATGTTACAGTGATTACTTTTCATGTCCAATTTCTATTCTCTACTTGTTAATGGCAGAATTTTTAAAAGCTTCTAGCCTTATTATATTTCACATTTAATAAAAAAATGTGTCCTACGTGGTTTCACACCAGTAGAGAGGTCACAGCACACATGGACTGAGAAGAAATCCCCTTAAACAGCAGGAACTGTATAAGTAACACCTCAAATATGGTTTTGAGAAAAGTGACTTAGCAGTTTTCATAGCTATAAAGCTGGCTCACAGATGCATAGAAATCTATGGAGAAATATACTTCCCTGTCTACCACCAGGATTAGAAAGGCCAGAATGGAAAATATAGAAGAATGGTAAGAAAACACAGCCAACATATGTTCTGTAGAAGCAGCAAGGCCCAGAGAGCCCAGCTCCCACCTGTAACCGCTGTTCTTCCCACAAAGTTACATTTGGAGTAGCAGCTTTACAGTGGGGAGGATTAGGGCACCTAGAGAGCTCTCCTCCCTTCAAGGTCACATATCTGGGGAGCACCCTTGCTCTTTCTCCTGCTGCCAGGGTAATGATGAGCATGAGGGTGTGGATTTACACATGCTGATTCCTTCTGTGTTCCTTAAGGTCCTGGTTCCCCCCTTCCCATGGTTTTCCTTGCAGATTTGGTTCTTTCTTAAAAGTGCAAGATAGTATATTGTGCATTCGCCGAGAGCCTAAAAAAGCAAGACAGATTTTATCATTTGGGCTGTAGATATCTAATGCCCATTATGGGCTGACTAAATTTAGTAGAGTGGCAATTCACCAGACTACTAAATTTAGTTAGGCCATCCGGTCATATCATTTTACTTAGCTTAATATTGGATATCATAAGATAGGGCCTATCAAACAGTATGGCTCCAGCTTCCCCAGCTGCAGACTATATTATCATTATACCTTTTCAAAACATTCATGGTAACTTTTTTAAAGCCTTGACATTTTTTAGTTTGTATATTTTGTTACAACTTTATAAAGATAGTCAAAATTAATTTAGTCTTCACTGTAAAGATCACTGTTTAAAAAAAAAAAAAAGACGCTGCCGATTTCATTTCAAGCAAAATCTTTTGACTTTCCCTGTTTACCTTCAGTTAGAATAGGGTGAATTTTATAATCAAAACTAGATAGACAAAGCATAGTCTAATCTGGAGAGAAATTTTGCACAACATCTTTTGTTGGCTTCATGCATTTCTAGTTGCCATCGAATCTCAGTTCTACTCCAGACAGAAAACAAAAAAACCCAACTTTTTGAGAATCCAGACGACCTAGCCTGTGACAGCAAGAAGGAGTTCGTAGTGCTGAAAATTCAAACTTGTCTTGTGCAGAGTGAATGGGAAAAAAACTTTGGTAAGATCCCATGCACAACAGCTGGAGTTATGATGATGGGATCAAATATGACTAACAGAATAGCATGTACAAACTCAACAGCCCTGCTATAATTCTTACATAGTATATGGAAAGAAAATTGCAGTAGCAGTATTCTAGGAGTCCATGGACTTAATCTTTTTTGGTAGGCCTTGAAAGGAAGCCAATGTCTCTCCATCCCGAGTCAGTCATTTCCTATCCAAGTAAACTGAACTGAGATCATCTAGATTCTGGTCTTCGTTTCTAATGAGCTTTCACTGTAAAACAGGAAATAATAACCTTGAAAGGGGAAAAAAATGGTCAAAAATCACTCAGAGAACATTTAAAGGTTTGTTCTGAACAAGGAGGGCTAAGAAAAAGGCCTGAGAAAAGGGTGTCCTGGGATCACTCACAGTTAAAGCACTGATTAATTAAGCAGAGGGTCATTCTTCAGAAAGACTTAAGGGCAGTTTTGGCCCTGGGGCTGTAATTTGGACACTTCTGGAGTTCTAGATACACTGAGCTATTCTGTACAGGGCCTGTGAATATGTGCATTCTTCTGGCTGAACAATGGCATCTTTATTTAAATGGGAGCAACTAAGTAAGTGGCTGTCTCCTAATATGGGTGGTATTTCTTCCTGCTCTGCCTCAATCTCTGCTGCTTTCCCGAGGCCTTATCAGTGCTTTGTAGCACAACTTACAAAATGAAATCTATTCATGCTGCTAAAACCCTCCCCCTTTTATAGACACAGGAAAAAAAACCCAAACGCTTACATATCCTCCAATTCTATGGCAGGGTGTTTACTTTTTTTAATGCAATTCTGCTTATCTGGTGCTGGTTTGGAAATTATTAAAATGGTGCCTGAATTTTATTGTTTTGACTATGGGAAGGAAATTAATCCACAACTATTACAAGTGTTTGATCCAAACAAGCAGAGATACAACTACGGTTTCTTGATACCTGTTTGTCAGGTATCCTAGTGCTCCTGACATGTCTGATTTATTCCTCCCATGTTTAGCAGTAACACTGTCCAGGTAGATGCTGCCCATTCATCTTGCTTTGTGTAGGTATTTCTTCAGGGTGGCTTTATTTATTATGCCTTAACTACTGTTTCTCCTTACTCACTAGGTTTAGCTCTGCCAGAGGTTAGAAAAGAGGTTGTTTGTCTGAAGAGACACGGGTGTGGTGAAAATACTCAGTGCCGGCCAAGTGAACCAAAACACTATCTGAATTACAAAGCAGGCTGGAAAATAAAATGTAACTGTCGGAAGATCTGGACCTGACCTGTGCTGAGAGACAGATAAAAAAGAAGTCACAGGAGCTGGCCATGTACATCTGGAGGTAGGTCTGGAGAAGGGGGGCTATGTCCCCCAAACCCTCTCAGCGGTTCACAGCAGTGGAGCGAGATTTATTACATTATTGCATGGGGAAAATGAATGTCAATGTTTATGCAATATTAGTTGGTATTGTTAATAGTTAATTTGGTGAGAGCAGCCTTGCTGTGAAACTGGACTGCAGAAATCTGTGACTTCGCTTATCACGGGGACTGGACTGTGGCACCATGTACAGACCAGTCCTGTCCCAAAGCACACTGTAACTAACTAATGGCTGCTGGAGTTGCAGGGATTGGGATGGTGGGGCAAACGTTACTGTTTCCACCAAAGACGGAGGCCAGGCACCTTCGAGCTGCATGTGCCTCCAGAAATACTGCTTCCTGAAATACCTCTGGGCACCCTAGATCTGTATAAGCACCAAAAAACATCGTACAGAGTGCTGGTTTGGTATTTTGTACAATTGCTATGTAATATAAAATAGACCATCCTCAAAGTGGAGAGTGACTTTGTCTTCCTCTGTCCACCCATGTGAGTGAGCAGCTGCTATCCCTCTTCCAAAAACTTTTTCCCCACTCCACCACCTCCCGTGAGTGTAAGGCAGACCAGCAGCCACACCAGTGGTGCCAGGGCAGCCTGGCAGCTGTGGCCCTTGGTGGAGGCATGAGTCTTCACAAACTATGTGGCTACCATCTAAAGCTCTGCCGAAACACCTGGCAATCTTTGGGATGGGGACAAAATAGGAAGGAAAATGGCTGCCGTTATTCCTAGATGCTGACCTGCTAAGCAGTGTGTACTGTGGGAGAGGGCACTGAGGGGATGTGTCTCCCCATGCCTATGTGGGAAAGGAAGCCACGAACAGAGCCCTGAAGGAGTCTGGAGAACAGACGTTTTGCATTAGCGATGAGCCAAAGTCAGTTACTTGTATTTAAACGGTACTGGGCTCTGGGGAAATTCAGATGCAGACCTGAAATACATGGCTTGGCTAAAGACTCTTGTTGCTGTCACATGTCTGACCTCTGGAAAATAACATTAATTCAAAAGTTAAATGTGTTCAGCTGACAGTGATGGAGTATTTGTGTTAAGGAGGAGATTTTTCAAAGGCACAAAATCAACTTAGTGATGTGCTACAATTGCTTCATTGACGTCCTACAGAAGGACTGAGTGCAGCAGGTGTGGGGGGGCTTTCAGCTGCTGTGAGGCACTCATTGCACTGAGGGATGTGGTTGTGAGTTCCCACTAAAAGGGCTGCATTTCCAAAGGTGGTTCTGAAGACTTATGATCTTTCTGGACACTTTAAATACAATTATTTAGGAAATTATTTCTCCTTGCTTAGTTTCCAAGTAGGCGGTTAGGCTGGGCAACTGCAGACATAGATCTTGTAACTAGCTTTAATGTAAGAGAGCAACATTGCCATAATTCTGGAGATATCTTTCTTTTCTGAACTACATTGGCAGCTCATGATACCAGCATGTCAAAATGACACTCACTTTATATTACACAGAATGTATAAAAACTTGTGTTTACATTTTGTCTCCTTCACCCTTTTCAATTTTGCTTTATTTTTTTTATAGTTTTGTAACTTAAGCCGTACGTATTTGGAGATGGTTTTTTCCATTCCCTGTCTAGCTTTATGGCTTGTTCTGGCTGAGGCATCCTTACAAGATTTGATTTTACAAGAAATATAGGCTAGCACATATGTATGTAATTGTTCCACAGTCAACCAATCTGTCTGGAGCACTGAGGGAAAATATATATTAAAACTTTCTTTCGTGCTATTTACAAACTAAATTGCAAGCTCTACAAATGATGCAAAATATTAGGAACTGCAACAATAAGGCTCAAGCTAGTTAGCAGGAAGTATAAAAGTATGGTGGAGCCAAACACTCATCAGTGTAATATTTTCATCAGAAACAGAATGTACTGTAACCAGGGGAGATAAGCATGAGTAGGCAAAACGGACTATGCTTAGAGCCAACAAGCAGCAGCAGCTACAAATCACACACTGCTGAGTGAAACCTGAAAAATCAAAGCCTGTTTCTTCTATCAGGAAGAACCCTTCCTGCTCTGAGTAGGTGTGGGGCAGGAACAGGTTGTAGGTACTGCCAATCTGTGCCAACAGCACAGAACAGCTGTGACACTAGGTAGGAGGGGAGGCCAAGCTGTGCCCAGCCTCTGGAGACCCGCCACTCGGTCCTTGTGCTGGTAGCAAGTGGCCCTCTGGTAATGGAGTGTTTAAGGAAGTGCTACAGAGCCAAGTGGATTGAGAGCAGGGAGCCATCGTGGACAACCTTAGTAGCCTTTTCCATGCAAGCAAATATGGGAGGACTTTGGTGTTTCCAAGTAGGAGAGCAGTGAAGAAAGGAGCCAAGAGTTGTTGCTGAGGTAGAGCAGCAAACCTTGTTTAACAGAGGGTGCATTGCAGTGGTATCAGCAACGTGGAGCCAGTGCTGCGAGTGCCGCATACTAGGACTTATTTAAAGAGGCTATTGTAAAAGTCTTCGAGCCAGTTAATTACCAGTTTTTGTTATGTCAGGAACTCCTTGAGTTAAAGCAGAAAGAAACTATTCATGAATATGTTCCAGTTCTGTAGTTTAATGGGACAAATTTAAAAAAAAAAAAAAGAAATAGAGAGAGAAACTGATAAAATGATTTAGTTCATGGAACGATTGAAAACCCTTACAAAAAAAGCTGAAATTACATATTGTACCCCATCTACTCTAGCATAAGCCATTGAAATTGCTGGAGACTTAGTTGGACTAATCGTCCATTGCAGTTATGCATGAGCCTTAGGGAGTGCACAAGGTGCATATGGGCCAAAGCACCAACCTATGAAAGAGAGAGAAATTATCCAACAGCATTTTTTAAAAAGTAGATATCCAGGTATGATAAGCCAAGAGGCTTGGCTTGCATTTAAAAATTATCAAGAGCAAGTGAGGAATTTAATTTAATTTATTCACCAAGTGGACTTGAAGAGGTGTGAAAAAGGGACCAAAATTAGCCAGGCTGGATGGGGCTTTGAAAGATGCCCCTGCCTATTGCGGGCGGGTTGGAACTAGATGATGTTTAAGGTCCCTTCCAATCCAAATCATTCTATGATTCCATGAAGTGATGTTAGGCAAGAGAAAACTTTCAGTGGAAACCAAAAATCTACAGAGGACTTTAATGTGGATTTATTCCCTTCCTGCTTACATCAGTTTTTCCCTCGTACCTCCCTGCTTGCTGTGAAGTTGTTGATGGATCATGGCTATTGCAAGCAGATTCAGGCCCAGAAATTCCATCTGATCAGAATAAAAGTCATATTGCATGCTGCATATTGAATCAAACTGCAGATATTGGAGTAAATGGTAGATGAGAGCCTGTCTCACACTATCAGTATTCTTCAGAGGTAGATGAGAGCCTGTCTCACACTATCAGTATTCTTTAGACATTTACTTTGCTGCCTTCCACTGTTTGGAACGCCCTGAAAATCACCAACACACTTACTGAATTGAGGTTTAAAAGCAACTTGAAACAAATCATAGTTCATAGCTCTGCTGGCTAGAAGAATACTATTGCCAAGGGGGTGCTTTCTGCATGTGTCTGAGTACCTCCAAAATGACCCGTCATGTGTATATGTGTCCTGGTTTCTTTTTTTACAAAGAGTGTTTTTTAGGAATTTAGCCTACCTCTTGAGAGAAGAAATGAGGCCAGCATACTAGAATACCCATCTTCCTAGTTCTTACCATTCCACAACTGAGATTCCAGACCTGCTCATACATTATGAAGCATCTTGGAGAAAGCTTCTATGATTTTGTCCTATAAATGCAATAATCTCTCAGGATATGGAGACAGCGCAGAGGATATTGAACACAGTTTGTTAGATGTTTTCTCTCTGTATTACTTGTATCTTTTCATCCCTGGTAAACTTCTCTGTGCCTGGCTTTTCAGAAGTCCCCCAAGTCCTCCACCAAACACCTTAGGTGATGATACTACTGTAATGTAGGGCTGACCACACTGTAGAGGTTGTCAGCCTTTCAATGGTGCTCTCTTCCCAGGGCTGATTTTCCCATTTGGCATGCTGCTCCCCATTTCTCCCTGCTCCTGCTCCTCTCCCCTGCCCAAGGGCTTTGCTCTGGGTGCAAGAGCCTTTCTGCTGCACGTTGAATTCCTGGTGTTCAAGGCTTTTGCTGTGTTGTTCTTTAAAGTGCTAATTTGGTTTTACTAATATATTTTCAATGGTTGGGATTAGCAGAGCTTGTAAGAACATATCAGACCTGTCAGGTTTACAAGTCCACTCGCCACCTCCACCCCCTTACATATATTTTTAAATAGCTAATTAGGAGATAATGCCAGTGGAACAAAATACTGTCACAAGATAATGATCTCACACCGGTATAGAAATGGTAAGTGGAAATGTTTATTTTCAAAGGGAAGAAACACTGATCATGTGCCTAATCCTATATTCTTAAACAAGTAAAATTCCTGTAGATTTCAGTAGAGCCTGAGGTGACAACATCTTATTACTGTGGTAGTATTTCTGGATACCAAACGGCCATAAGTGATGCAGTCATTTTCTCCAAATGATACTGGTGCAGTATTGGAACAGATGTTTCCCTTACCTTTATTAGCCTGTTGTATCTTCTAACTTGGAAGACAAATTTTGCATGTGCTTCATTGCATCACTTAGATGATTTTTTTTTTTTTAGATGTGCTTTAGGAAGCAGTGAGCTGTGGGTTGGATGAAGTTATGCTTATTTTTAACTTTCTGACAGTTCATAATGGTGATACACAAGTCTGGCTTGCTACTGGCAGGCTCCCTTTGGTACACTAAGGATCCTCTCTGTTTAAATCAAAGATGGCCTTTCTCCGTCTTTCTAAATTTTGGAAACAAGGGTTGTCTTAAATTCACCTTTCAGGAATAAACCACCTTATCTTTCTGGTGGGGTGAAGGGCTTCTCACATACAAGTTCATTAGCTCTTCTGGCGTAACTGCTCCTGTTCCTCAGTAATAGATTGCAGACAATTTGG